GAGCGGGAGCTCCATCGACGAAGAGACCGATACGGCGGCGGGTGACGCCTGAGCCGCCCTTGCTCTTGGGTGTGAGTTGAGGGATGATGGTTTCGGCACCGTGGAAGCCTCCAGCCTCGCGACGGGCAGGAGGGATGATCCAGCTAAGACCAGCCTCGACGGGTGTTGTGGTATCATCGAGATCATGGCCGTACAGACACATACCAGCCTCGAGACGGAGAGAATCACGAGCACCCAGACCAGCAAGCTGAAGGCGCTCGGGGCCAGCCTTGCTAAGAAGGGCCTGAATAGCAGGGGTTGTTGTCTCAAAAGCAGGATATTCCTTTCCGTTGAATGAAATCTCAAAGCCGTCCTCTCCAGTGTAGCCACCTCGGCTGATGAGGACAGGGTGAGTCTTGCTGCCATCGGCGAGCTTAAGCTCAGCCCAGACGGCATTGCCAAAGTAGAGCTTTGACAGATCAACGTCGCTAGCGAGAACGTCGCTGAGAACCTCGGCACTCCGAGGGCCCTGGAGGGCAACGAGACCGGAGTTGTCGAGACGTGACCACTCAACATCTCCGCCGAACTTGCCAAGCTCCTCGTCAAGATACTTGGTGTCCTTGTCAAGACAGGCACCGTTGGTGACAACGTAGTAGGTATCCTCGCCAAGTCTGGTGACAACCGAATCATCAACGATACCTCCAGTACCAGGCCACAAGAACGTTGTCAACTTGCTCTGCATGACGCCCTGATTTGTCCAGTCTGAGGGAGTGAGTTTCTCCAAGAAAGCAGCTGCATCTTTGCCCTTAAAGATGTGCTGCACCATGTGGCTCACATCAAATAGTGAGGCATGCTCACGAGTAAAGTGATGCGACTGAGCAAGTGAGAGGTTTGAGTACTGAACAGGGAGCGAGTAGCCTGCGAATGGCACCAGCTTTCCTCCATTGGCAACATGAAAGTCATAGAGAGGAGTCTTCTTCAGATCAGAAGAACTCCCTGAAGCACATCGTACGCTTTGTTGAGAGAGTCTGAGAGCGCCGAATGATGTGGGCCGTGTAACGGCGGCAGATGATAAGATTCGGGGACCAGCCCTGGCGGCCAAGCTGAGGCTCTTCTTCATGGTGGAAATCAATTGTCAATATTAGGAATAAGGGAGGAGAGTCAATTGACCAGAAACAAAGAAAATTAATAAAGAGGAAAAGAGTTTGTACAAGAAGATAAGAAGCCGAAGGGGGCGCTTAAGACTGGTACATGGCATGCACAGTACATATCATGCAAGTCACAAGTCACCCAATTTGACAATTGGCGCTGGTGGGGTTGTCACCGAGTCTGAAGTCACTGAGTCTGAACTTCACCGAGTCACAATCAAAAGCGTCGCTTCTAATTCGCTTCTCCACGGCCTCTGCCTCCGAAAACCGACCCCGGACCCCGCAGTCCCCGGAGCGCCCTCCGAGGGCCGAAGCCAGAGGTAATACCTAGAAGGAAGAGAAGCGCGGCAAATGCTGATAAGAATAAATTATTGATAAAGGCTGCGTGAGACGGTGAGGGCATAAACTCACGGAATAGGATCCAATTGCTCAACACTCACGTTATTCTCACGCACAATCGTAATCGTAGTCGAGGTGATGCTGCTCAAACTACCAATAACTAAAAAGTATGCCATTACAAGCTGGTGCTTTCTCTTGTCCCCGCTCCTCGGCTCAGCTCAGCTCGTCTACTGTGATTCTCTAAGCTTTGCGAACTCGGACCTGCCAGAACTGACGACATCAAGACGCCCGCGTAATAAACAAGATACTCCAGCAAGACACTACACTTCTCTAGGATTGACCTCTGACAGTTCACTGTTGCTCAAAACTGTACTTCAACCAACCTCCAAGAGCTCGGAGACTCTCCCATCGCACGTTCTCGTCATCTGACTGCATGAGTTCCATGATCCTTCTCTTGAGCCCAACCTTCTCTAGTTGATATCTCTTCTCGGGAACCTCCTTCACCAGACATCCGACGTCGTTGCAGGCGATGGCAAGCACTTGCTTGTCGTTATCCCAGGGTTGTCGCATGATCTCGGCCAGCTTCCGAGGGATCTCTCCGTTCTCAAACTCAAGAATCTTGCGGGCATTCTCAGCCCAGAAGACTGTGTTTCGGTGAGGGGGCGACCATCGAAGATGACCAGACTGCACCTCAGCAACATACTCGTCGAATGTGGTCTTGGTCTTGGTGTACTCTTCCAGCATTTCCTTGAGCTTCGAAAGATCCTCCAGCAAGTCAGGATCAGTCAGATGGCGACCACTGATGTTCTCGAGAAGAGCGGGAAGGCGAGCAAGAACTGCAGTGGGTAGAAGTGATTTCTGGTTTTTCTCAAGAAGGTTGTAGAGTGTAGAAAGGATCAGCCGAGTTGTCTTTTCCTTGGGTGATAATCGTAGAAGGTGAGTGTAAAGAAGGACAATGTCGTACTCGCTGCGGTTCAGTATTAGTTGTAGTCCGGTTTTGCCCATTCTCCTCCCCCCCTCCCACTTGCAAATTCACTTACTCGTTGAGTTCATCGCCAATCTCCTCGGCTTCAAAACTTATCTGCCAGATCACAAGGAGAGCATGGTAGAGAAGCTGGAGGCCAACACCTCCACCCAAAGAACCACCAAAGCCAGTAGATCCGGTACCGGTGTTGCCGCTCCAGAGACTAGCAGATGAGCTGCCTCCATTTCCAATGCCAGCTGCAGTTTGAAGAATCTTGATCAGGGGCGCAATCGTCTCGCTTCGCTGGTTCCAGAATTGCTCTCTTGCGACATGCCCAAAGAGCAGAGACGAATACTCCTGCACAGCGATATCTTGTAGGCCGGCGTCGTTACTCTTGGCCAAGCCGGAGAGATAGGTGAGAATCACAGGCAGAGCCTGGAGGGTGGACCGGGACTCGTCTCGAGCAAGAGCCATGAGTGTGGTAAGAGCATGTGCAGTAAGCAATGGAATGGGATCCTCAGCATTAGTCGAGTTAAGCAGAGGCAAAAAATGTCGATAAGGCTCCTTTGTCTTGAGGAGGGCCTTGGCTAGAGGTGGAACAGCTGAAGATGTTATGTTAGCATTGGTGATTGGAGATTATGACGGAAGTCGCTCTATTAGTAGATAGACATGGACTACTCAATGGCACTTCCCAATGTCGCATAAAGATAAAAGGGACGCTCTTACCCTCGAGAAGGTCGCCAAGCAACACCAGGATGTACTGGATCACATTCGCATGCTTTCCCGCCGTCTCGAGAACGCTCGTCTTTCCATCATCGCCAACAAACAAGACGCGATATCCATCAATATCCCCTGACACAATGTCCTTTCTTTGCTCAGGCTTCTTGGCCTTATCTACAGCTCGAATCTTTGCATATTGCTCCTCGGTGAGGGTGCCGGCCCTGACAGCACCGTCCCAGGGAATGGGTCGCTGACGGATGTTGCTCTGGAGAGAGGCCAGGTACGTAGGCGGGTCGAGGGACATGATTAGCTATGATTACAGCGTCGCGGCTGCTAGCAGCGAGCGGTTAATTGTGGGATGAGCCAAAGGATATATCTAGGTGACGAGAACGGGGGGGAAGACGGAGATGGAGGAGGATGGAGAAGCTGGTAATATGAGGTTTGAAGTCGCTGGTGATGCAACCAACTTGATCTTGAACCGCGCGGAGCGTCACAGGTCAAGCTTGGGGCACCTAATGGAACCTTGAATTTGGTTGGAGCTTGGGTACCTAGCCACAACTGCCACACTCAGTGCCACAGTTTAAGAGTTTGCCAGATAAATGTGGCTGCTGATAAAGTATGGCTTGATATGACCTGTGGCTGTGGCCCTGGCGTCTCCTCTGCCAAGCTGATGACACGATTGAGTCAAAAAAGCCCAGACCGACCTGCAATGAATCCCTGAAAAATGCCCTCCCAGCCTCCGAGTTTTGTTTCCCTGCCTAAAGGCTCTGCTCCTCCCAACACCGCCAATGGGAAGAGCCAAACCAGGTCTCGGCTTGCAAGGACGTTACGATTGCCCCTGACAGTTTAATTAAAATATGCAGTATGCAAACGGCTTTCACTCTTATGATACGTGATCTGCTATTCTGGGGTGCCCGGGCGTGTAAGTGGTGATGACATTTACCCGCTGTACGAGGCCTAGCTCCAGGGCCGCAGACACGGGCCTACAGGGGGTGAGCACTGCTTGGGGGCTCCAGCTATCGATAGTTGTCCAGTGAGCAAGCACAGGCGTGGTAGTTGGAGGTATCATGAGCTGGCACCCCCACCATTGACGTGCATGGTATTTCAAGTCTCATCCATCCTCACCGACAAGACAAGAGATCGAGAGTTCACAAAAAAGAAGACTGAGTGTTCCCCCTCAAAACGTTGCCTCGAATTAAAGAGACTGATTTGTTGGCGTGTGGACCAGGTCCCTTTATTTCGGATGAGCGCGTGTGTGTGTCAAAGTGCCCTTCTAGGTAAATCGAAGAGGCTGGTATAGACTATAGTTGTAAGTGGGAGGTTGGGACTCAAGAGGAAGCCTTTCGTTGCAGCCCACCACCAGCCGCTTAAAACTCTTGGTGCAGCGCCCATTCAACGTTGCCGTTTCTCGTCTCTTTTTTTTCCTGCTTGTAATTGACCTTTTACTAACTCTTGGAAGTTTCTTTTTCCCAGGGAAACTTCACCACCAAACCTTACTTAGCCTCTCACTCACCCGCATCTCACAGCGACCTTCACTCACCTCCAATTCCACCTCCATCTCCATCTCGGGCACCAACAATACTTCCCCGCGACAACGCAGCCGCTTCTCCCGCATTCCAGAAACTAAGCTAAGCTGAGCTGTTTCACAAGGGACTCAGATAAAATCTCGCAACCGGTCTCGGTTCTTACCCAGATCAAATTCCTCACCTTGTGCACTCAGCTCATTTTCGAAACCAGCACAAGCTCTGGCTGGGATTGGCCTCAAACAATATCATCCCGACCCCGGCTTTGCGCCAATAACCACCAGCCTTTGAATAGAAGTGACGATCACAACCAGAAAAATCGCTACAATGCGCTCCGTGACGAGGCCGCTGCTGCTCCTCGCCGCGGCAGCTCTCTGCTCTGCCAAGCCGCTCCCCAAAGATGGTCTTCATGATCGCGGTTACTCATATCTCTTGCAACGAGCATGCGACTCACCCTGTGGCTCCGATAATCAATACTGTTGCAGCTCTGGCGAGACCTGCCAAACCTCAAATGGAGTCGCAAGCTGTGTCGCTGCAAAGGGAGGCTGGATCGGCGATTATACCACTACCTGGACGGAGACCAGAACTTATACCAGCACAATCATGACCCGCTGGGAGCCTGCTCCGGAGCCCACAAAGGGCGTTGACTGTGTGCCCAAGGACGATGAGCAAGAAGCATGCGGTGAAATCTGCTGCGCTGGCTGGCAGACTTGTGCGTACATGGGCCAATGCTCTGCGAAGCCTGGCTACGAGGAACCTACCGCTGTTGTGATTACCACTGATGGAAAGATCACCACCCAATACTCGGCTCCTTATCGAGTCACTGGTACCACCACCATCACCAACAGTGGTGCGCCCACCGAATCCGTGACTGCAACTGAGACTGAATCCGAGGCGTCTGCAACGGCCACCGAGACTAGCGAGGGGGCCGCAGCTGGCGAGACCGGAACCGGTGGTGGAGGCCTGAGTGCCGGTGCCATTGCTGGTATCGTCATCGGCGTCATCGCTGGTGTTGCGCTTCTCCTTCTTCTGTGCTTCTGTTGTATTGCCCGTGGTCTCTGGGTTGCCCTCTTCGGTAAGAAGGACAAAGAGAAGAGCGAGCGTGTCGATGTCTACGAGGAGCGATACTCCCGCCACGGCAGCCGACCACCTCCTTCGGCCTCGGCCCACTCCCGTCGTCCTCGACACAAGGGCTGGTTCGGCATGGGTCGCCGTGGTTCCCCGTCTTCGGCCGGCGATCGTCGTGAGAAGAAGTCGGATGGCAAGAAGTGGCTCGGTATTGCTGGTCTCGCGGCAACGCTCCTTGCTCTCCTCAATCTCAAGAAGGATAAGCGACCTGCGAGCACCAAGCCCGCGCGCTCATCTCGAGGATCATCACGATCGCGGTATAGCGACTCTTATTACTCATACAGTGACTACACCAGTCCCAGTAAGTCTCGCTGAGAACCCACCCACCTCGTCACTTTGTCGTACTAACAGTCACAGCAGGCAGTTCAAGCTCAGGTGGACGAACGAACCGCACTCGTCGCACACGAGACAGTCGAGCAAGGTCGTACTACTCCCGCGACAGCAGGCGATGAAGCCTTTAAATCCCCGCCCCTCAACTTTTATCCCCATTCGTCACACATATACTCCCCATCCTGTACATGTCTCTGCATTTGACATAAGGATTCGAGCCCACATTGTACACATTCGACTTGCCGGTTCACACATCAAGGCTACTGGCGTTCCTGGTTGTTCACATATTATGGTATTCTGTTGATATTTTTCCGGCCTCTGCTTTTTTATTTCTCAACATTCACCCCATTTCATCATTGATGTTGTTACTTTACCCACGCGTTCATGGATGGTTAATGCTGCTGCTTTTTGTTACTCAAGAGATCACGTCACGAAGGGAATTCAAGAAGACTAGATGAAATGACTCACAATGAAAGTCAAGAAGGAAAATGACGAGTTTGATATAACAAATGAATATACTGACGAGGCACGTCTTAATGTAAATGCGAGCCTCATTTTTCACATGCAACTTTTGATCACAATCGCCCCCATCAATCATAGACAGCCATTGATGTGCGTGGACTAATAAAGCTCCAAAATCATGATGCATTGACCCTTTTACCATTGAACGAATTGGATAGAATAGATCTTGCCGGACGGACTTCACGATAGACAAAAAAACGCTGTGGAAGTTCCCAGGCACAGATAATGTGCGAATTGGAAAATGATTGAACGCCTTTTTTTTCTTCTTATCGCAAAACACCTGAAACGAACCCTCGTCTAAAAGCCGGCCTTTTTTTGCTCCTAAAATGGTCACATGCACGAATGAACAGATGCAATTCGATTCGTTGGCGAGATTCAAGCGTTTGCCGGCACCAGAGTCATCACCTCTTTGCTTTTTTGAAATTTGTTTTGTAGCCCTTTTTTTGCTACATGACATGCAACGATGAACCCTTCGCCACTCCTGAGACCCAGAAACGCAAAAGAAACAAGATCCGTGTCCGTACCCGCGCTTATTCGTCCTGGACAATGTTGCCCTTCTCGGAGACGTACAGACCGTCAAGGAACTAGGCCAATCAGTAAGAGTCGGGAAAAGAGACAGTGTGATGCTATGTCCTACCTTTCGGATATCCTTGTTTCGCACCCGGCAGATCTGCTGGATATCGGCGGCACTTTGCGACACGTTCTCCACAGAGTTACCAGAGAGGACGAGCTCATCCTTCTGGGTGGTGGATGCCTCGACATCGACACCAGGCTGCATGACAATTCGGCGAACGAGCTTCTCGCCGATGAAGTTTCGGATCTCAACCTCGTACAGGTCGGTCTCGGCGTTCTTGGAGACGTTGACGTTGATGGGGAAATGGGCGTAGACGTATCGCATCTTGTACTTGAAGCCCTTGGTGACACCAATAATCAGGTTGTTGATGAGGGTTCGTACAGTTCGGAGGGTAGCGACATTCTTGCGGACACCGTGGTGGATCTCAATAGAGATCTGGTTCTTCTTAGGGACGGTGAAGTTGACAGCCAGGTGGCTGAGATCCTTGACCAGCTTGCCGCGGGGGCCCTCAACGGTGACAATTCGCGACTTAATGCTGACCTTGACTATATAGAGAAAACGAGTCAGCTTTTCCGTCTTGTGAGTTGTTGGAAATTCTCGTTTCGACGCTCGTGGATAATCCCCTCGTGAATTGCCAGAGTTCCCATTGTGAGCGCAGTTTATTGTTGTTGTTCATGTGCAGCCCCCATTTGCGAATATCTCTAGCAATTTTTCGAGGGGACCGATACCCAGATTATTCGAGCGACGGCGAGGATATCAGACTTGAAAATGAAATAGGGCGCAACGTACCCCCCTCGGGGATCTCAAGGAGCTCCTGGGAATGAATGTACTTCATCCTGCCGGCTGTGAGTTGATATCGGTGTTGAGGGATACAGGCGAAACAAATTCTGAGTTCTTGTGCGGGAAGAACATGGAAAGTGCGTAGGGCTTTCTTTTCCACGTGAGCGACTCCGGTGGAGTCTTCACGTGATCAGCATGGAAGCTCTGAGCCAATTAGATCTATTGGCAATGAAGAAAACCAGTTCTATAAGCAGAATATGGGTAATTGTGGTAGCAAAATATACTAGCACTGTAAGAAAAGTAATAATTGAAAGCCTGAGTGAATCTATTTGTTCATTTCTTGTTCATATTCTTGTTTGAATTCTCATCCCATTCATATCTTGTCGGCTCGTTCGGCCTTGTCAAGGTACCTCAACGGCGGCAAGCTCGGTGGGTCTTGATCGATTAATCCCCTGTCTCCCCGGCCGACGTCAGCGCCGACTCTCCTCAACAGCTCGGCCCAGCTCAGCCCAGCCATCCCACTATCATAAAGCTTGCGCCATAGCCTCATCTCACTTATCAACAAAGCACGCACTTGGGCAAGAGGCAGACGACATACAAAATCGCCCGCCATGTCGTACTTCTTCGCGACTCCCGTCGATATTGACGTCGTCCTCGATGATACAGATGAGCGTTCTATGGTCGATGTCAAGCTCGACAAGAACCGTCGCGAGAAAGCGCCTCTCTTTATGGATGGCGAGTCCGTCAAGGGCGCCGTCACTGTTCGTCCCAAGGATGGCAAGAGGCTCGAGCATACTGGCATCAAGGTCCAGTTCATCGGCACGATAGGTTCGCGACCCCTATACATCGCAATGCCTCCCTAACGCTTTCACACTCTTGGGAAGCTAATTCTGTTACTGACCTGTCGCAAAGAAATGTTCTTCGATCGCGGCAACCACTATGAATTTCTCTCCCTCAACCAGGAACTCGCTGCGCCTGGCGAGCTTCAGCACCCACAAACGTTCGACTTCAACTTCAAAAACGTTGAGAAGCAGTACGAATCATACAATGGCATCAACGTTAAGTTACGCTACTTTGTCCGCGTCACCGTTTCACGCCGCATGGCCGATGTCATCCGGGAAAAGGATATCTGGGTCTACAGCTATCGTATCCCCCCTGAGATGAACAGCAGCATTAAGATGGATGTTGGTATCGAGGACTGTCTACACATTGAGTTCGAGTACAGTAAGAGCAAATATCATCTCAAGGATGTCATTGTTGGGCGTATCTACTTCTTGCTTGTGCGCCTAAAGATCAAGCACATGGAGCTGTCCATCATCAGAAGAGAGACGACGGGTGCTGCTCCCAACCAGTATAATGAAAGCGAAACCTTGGTGCGTTTCGAGATCATGGACGGTTCCCCGTCGCGAGGAGAGACAATTCCTATTCGACTATTCCTCGGCGGGTTTGATCTAACACCTACATTCCGCGACGTTAACAAAAAGTTCTCCACGCGTTACTACCTCAGCTTAGTTCTCATCGACGAAGGTCAGCCAAGCCCCTACCCAATCCCATGTCTCAACCACTCAACTAACATCATTCACAGATGCTCGACGATACTTCAAGCAATCTGAGATTATCCTTTACCGCCAAGCTCCTGACGCCGCACCTGTTCTAAATGCCGGTACCTCATCACTACCTGCGCCCCCAGAGAACAAGTTGGCTGCTGTACAGGCATAAGGATAGATTAGAAGAGTCTGGCTGTTGCTCTGATGTACATACCATGTCAACTTCATGCGCGTCCTTTAAGCATCGGGTCCTGGCGTTTCGGGTTTCAAGGTTGGAAGAGCAAGATGATGGAAGATTTGTAGTTTCTGTTTCCTCTGCAAATCAAATTAATATATACACCACAAACAGTCCCGATAAAATGTCCTGTCCTGGGTATTTCGCCCGTCCGAGTTTTGAAACAATACACCTCTAGTCTACATAAAGTGGCCTGTCCTATTTCTGCATTCATGCAATTTCCATAATGTCGTCCGCCTCGAAGCCAAATTGGTTGTTGTGGATCGCTGCGATTCGGTCCAACTCATCCTGATACTGCTTGCGAATATCCGCCAATGACACCACCTTACGCTTTCCTGTACCTTTCTGTCCAAAGCCAGCCGAGGCCTCATCATAAATCCAAGCCTGCTTGGGTTCTACACAGCTGAGAGCATTAATAAGTAGGAGGTATTGCCTTGTCACCGGTGTATCGAGGATATCTTCCCCCGTAGCCTCATCTCCCTCTCCAGCGCTTTGCAGCTTGTGGATTCGGTCTAATACAACCGACGCGGCACCACGGTAGTTATTGTGCTTAATACGCCATGAGTAGAGGACCTGGTGGTAGGGGAATCCTTCTATAACATCCAATGATGTTTTTGTCTTCTGTGCCAGGATATCGTCAACCTCCTGTTGAAGACCAGGGAAAGGCAGAGCGACGAGCTCATTGTTGTGATAAGTCGCACACATTCTGTCGATCAGCTTGCGCAGATTTGAGATCTTCATGGCTTGATCCTTAATCGACACCAAGGTTGTGTGTGCAAGCTCGAATTGCGATGTTGCCACTGCAGCGTTGAACAAGCGGCTTTGCATGTCAGTCTTGGTGAACATAGCATCCTGCTTAGTACCCAGGAACTGCATGGCCAGACGGGCGAAATCAACCACATAGGAGTAGGCCTTCTGCTTCTCGAACAAAGCAACAATATGTGCATAGTACTTTGCAAGACCTTGGTAGAGGAGGTTCCACTCTGTGTCATCAAGCAAGCTGCTACTATGGCGGTCGCTTCCGGCATTCCCAGCGCCTGGCTATCTGTTAGTAAGGGATCAGTAACAAGATTGGGAGGACTTACTCATTCCAATGGCCGCTCTTCTAAAGAAAATCGCAGCGGTATTAAAATCATTCAAAGCCAGCTGCAAACGGCCCTGGACATATGTGGAGAAGGGGTTTTGGTCACAGAAAGGCGCAAGATCCAATGCCAAATCAGCCCTCTCTCGTTTGATGAGAGAGCACTGGACAAGTGGTGGTGAAATCTCAATATCGCTGTCCGGAGCGCACAAGTTGGTGACGAGATCTGTGACACTAGTAGCCAGTGGCTCACTCTGGTTCGCAAAACCAAGCAGGTGACCAACATGCGCCTCCAGTGCCGTCACGAGTTGAGCATCCTCGGAGCTCCTCTTTACAGCTCCGCTCTCGCTTTTTTCTCGGGTGCTTGGCACTGAGATTTCTGTCTGGGCGAGCCACTTCAATAGCTCCAAACGTCGCAGGGCCACGACGAGCTGTCTGAATACGTTGCCAATATCAACACGATTGTGAAGAGCCTCTGCCTCGTTATCGTGCTCATACTCCATGTGGACGAGAAGAATCAACTGGCTGAAGTAGACCTTCCGCTGCAACTCAATACTGTCTTGAACGGCTTTGACGACCAGTTTCCTACCAAAGTCGGTAAGTGGGTGACGTAAGTTCCGTGACTTGGCTTCCTCTGGTGCAGAGATCAGATTCATCACATCGGTGTAAAGCTCGTCTGTCACTATGTTAAAGTTTGGGCCAAGGACATCGACAACTTGGCTACAGTCATCCTCAGTGATGCCTTGCCAAGATCCAGACTTGTCGTAGAAACATGAGATGCGCTCGAGGTCTGTCTTGGAAGAATCCTCAAACAGCTCGGGTCGTAGTGCAGCATGGGAGAGCGCGATCAGATGGTCAGGCAACCCGGCGACCAAGTTCAAAGCCGCATTGACTAGAGCCGTTTGTGCAACGTGGTCTTCCTTAGGAGAAGTGAGGTTATGGTACAGCCGCTCCAAGCTACTGCACTCACGAATGGCTGAAAGGAAGTCGGCGCAGACAACCCAAGTCATTCCTGTAGAGGGGTCAAGTGTCAACCCGAGTGCTTCTCCTCGTTGCTTGTCCAATTCGAGCAACAGGCGGTAGAACCTCAACCACTGGGCCTCACTGGAAGCGCGGAAGGATTCGTACTCCATAGCGCCCGAAGAGCCTCGATCTAGCGTTGCAGCAGCCCCTAATATCGAACAAATCGACTCTGCCAACCCTCGAGCCTTGGCAGCGGTGTCTGGTTTTCCGTAGCCTCGCTCATAAATCGATAATGCTGCCTCTAGAGTCGATTTTGTAAACTGACCAGGCTTCAGGATAAGCTGGAGCCACTTCTCTGTGACATCAGTAGGATCCCAGGGGCCAGAACTCTCTGCGGCCTGTATGAGGTTGTCTGCATAGACGCCATCCCAGTTCTCCTCCCAGCTCTGTGAGATATTCTTACGGTCCACTTCGAGCCTTTGCACCCTATACGTCATGTTGTTCTTCCACAGGGTCCAGAGTTGGATAGCGCTCTCTGCAGGACAAGAGAGAGCGAAATCGGCGAGTGTCCACACATCAGAGGATGATGGCGTCAGTGGAACCAAGGCGTTATTGGGGAAGATGTCTTCGACGACGACGGTATGCGCATCCTTTGCGATGATCTTCCAGAACTTGAACTCTCCTGCGCCGATGGGTGAGAAGGTTGCGCATATCCTACTACTGCGCCCCCTTCCAACAATCTGTACTAAATTCGTCTGTAATGGATCAATAGCCCACTTTCCAATTTCCTGAGGGTTCCTCTCAGCATTGAGGATATCGCCTGTATAAAGAATTTGGCCATCGTTAATGTTCCAAATTCGCATTCTGTGATCGAGACAGACTGTGATCGCAAAGAGACTATCATCCATTCCGAAACTTGTGATTTGAATCGACGTGGCTGAGCTGTACTCCATATTGATCTTGCCGTTCTTGATTGTGTGTTTTCCCTGGAAAGGAAGAAGACTTCGGAGATTCTGCGCCCATCCCTGAACGTTAAAGAACGATTCCTTCCAGACAAGTGACGATGCTGCAATAATCAGCATTGGCATGTTTTGACATCACTATCCCAATAGTACTCACGTTCATGTGCTTTGTTCTTGTCAAGCCTGATCATTCCTCCATCGTTGACCGTAATCAACAGTGTCTCCGCGTTCACAGCAACCATGCGATGAGGATGTTTGAAACCCAATCCTGCCGGCGCTTGGACCTTGCCGAGGTCAGAAAGTCCAGCATCGACGGCCGATCTCTTCCTGAATAAATCTGGCCGGAGCGTGAAGCTATACAGCTGATATGCTTGGTCGAGCACAAAGACACAGAGGGAATCGTGCTCTTCGGGGTCCGAAAATGTGACGCATCCTGGCTGAATAGGTACTGAAAAGTGGAAGTTCAAGACAAGCGGAGAATCGGTCGCTGGTGTCTTCTTGCAAACATCAACAGCCCGAATGCTGAGGAGGGTGCCGTCCTCCAAGATCCTCCAAAGAAAGCTACGTGGTGTGTCATGCCAAGTTCGGTGGTAGACAGACGAGGCAGTCGCTAGGTTCTTCGTTCGAAATGTCGTCTCATCTTCTGCTGTGTTGTCGCGCGCCGGCTTTCGAAAATTGCGGCTCTGTATTGAATTCGAGGGTACTCGGATCGTGACAACAGAAGACGAAGTTGGGGGATCGAGGCTCACTCTTGTCTCTTTAAAGAGATATTGGGTATCAACTTGATCCATTTTCGCCCCATGAATCAAGTCGAGCGTGACGAGATGAGTTCGAATACTAGGCGTTGAGTTGGATGTGATGATGGATACCTGAGGTTGTTAACAAAGCGAAATCGCGTAGTAGAATTTCTGGCAGAGTCGCGACCCACGCTAACCTAAAAAGGTAATCAGCTATTGGTCACTGCATCACGACCTACATGGGAGAAAGATTGGATGCATCAAAGTTACGCAATATTAATCAGGTGTCAATTTGACGTCTTTCTTTGAGACGATTTGCTCCAAAGAACCTTGCTTTTATTGGCGAGAATTCCGGGTTTTCAGCCTAACCACCTTATTCTCTAACATTTAGGTAACATCCATCGCAAGAACCAACACATGAAGAAACCATTAAGATATGCGCCAGCAATCATACCAAGAATCATCACCATATACTCCAGTAATCGTACAAACATGCAAGGTCATCCGCTATCGTCTAATCCTTCTCCATGTCCTTTGGGGCTGGGTCACCGATGCCCTCCTCGCCAATGGCAAACAGAGTATCACTTTCTGGCAGGCACGGGCTGTCATAAATTTTCGCAATACGTGTTTCCGCACGACCCTTCTTGAGACTGATTCTTGTTGTACTGGCATGAGCGATGATGTTACCGCCAATGGGCTTCTTTGGATCAGGGTTGAACATGGCACTTGGGCCACCATCGACCTGAGCCACGACTTGATTTGTAATGACGACCGCGATACCAAATTCATCCGCCAGACGCTGAAGTGTCCTCATGAATTTGGCCAAGTGAGTCTGTCGATTCGAAAGCTCACCGCGGCCGCAAAAGTCTGTTCGGTAGAGCGATGTTGCACTATCAACGATGAGAAGAGAAAATCGGGTCTCACACATCATAGCTGCAGCCTGGTTGAGTAATTGAAGCTGGTGATCAGAGTTATAAGCGCGTGCGTACGCAACATTGTCCAAGACCTCTTCGCCAGAAAGGCCAAATCGGTTGGCAACGCCTAGTAGACGAACCGGTCGAAATGTGCCCTCGGTATCGATGTACATGCATTTTCCTTCGCCACCACCCATGTCAAATGGTAGTTGACAAGTCACGGCGAGTGTGTGGCAGATCTGACTTTTTCCGGTTCTGAATTCACCAAACAGTTCAGTAA